TGAGAGTTAATGCACGAAGGGTGATGCCGTACCGTTTCTATTAATTTTATGGTGAGGTTGAGAGTAAAAGCACGAAGGGTGATGCCGTATATTTTTTCTTTACTATGTTTACTTTTCCTTATTGGTTTATATTATATTGGCTGTTCAAGTTACCATTCCGATGTAGTTCTCTATCTCGTATTTTCCTCAGTATGTTCCCCCTCCCAATAGTACATGTTTAGCTGTTATTTGTACATATACAGTTAAATTGTACAGGTTTGTTATGTATGTATCTTGTCATAGCCTCAGCACTATTTCGTCGAGGTTAGGCTCAACATTTACAAGTACATGGGGTCGGTTGTACTGATACTGCACTCTGCACTTTCTGTGCAGATTTTGGTACTGGTCCCAGCTGATCGAGAGGCGTAGCAGCTCGGACTGGTTCATCGGAGACTCAAGGTAGATCTGTTAGTGTTCGCAGACCTTGAAGTCCCCGTCTATCTTCTCTGGGTTTTTTTATTGTTTCTTTCATTCAAACAGTTGTATTTCTTTCAGACTTTTACTTGTAGTAAATCCTAGAAGTTCGTGAATTGTGACTCCACATCCGAGTGGTAGTAATTAATGAAGTTTTTATATTATTCCGCACTCGCTGTATTTCATTTTTGCTTCCTTGCTGTTATTTACTGAAATGAATAAGGATTGGCTTAATAATTCTCTAACGTCGGCTTTCCTAGCAAGTGGAATGTTAGGCGCCATCACGGTCCCGACGGTGGGAATTCTGGGTCGTGACAACCCATGAACCTCGCCTATTGCAAAAATATATCGGACCCTTGTCAATTGAAAGACGCATTGGGAAAGCCACATACCAGGTGAATACTCCATCTTGGTAGAAAATCCATCCAGTCTTCCATGTCAGCCGTCTGAAATCACTTCGCAAAGACATGGAGCATCATTCACAAAGCCACATCACAAGATCGAGGGGAACAGACCTCCAAGCCAACAAAAGCCTGATCAATCATCATCTTGCAGGTAAGACTCTGAGGACATCGCCAACTCAGGTGGGGGAGAATGTCATGGGCCACTTTCCATTCTCGCCCCATGACCCCTTGGACACGTCCCATGGCGTCCTGACAAGCCTCCCAATGCCTAGCGCCATGGTCGGCCCCGTGGTCTTGGCAGCGCCAAGTGACAAGCGTGCATGTGCCTCTGTCGCCTCACCGATAATCCTCGCCAGCGCCCACCAGCTGGCAAGTGCCAACAGTGTCGCGCGCACAGACCTTCATGTGGCCAACAGTGCCGCGCGCACAGATCCTGATCCAAGTGCCAGCACCCAGCCGCAGGCATACAAGGAGTGTTGCGCGCGCCGACAGCACCGCGCGCGCAGACCCTGATGCTCAAGACAAAGTTGCTGCCAACAGACTTATTTCTACCTTGTAGAAGGCTAAGTCATTTTCATTGTAATTATAGAGTAGTTTTACTTCATTTTCTTTCAGTGTGCTTCTATAGTTTTTATAGGTCAAGTCATGTAACTTTGGTTTATCTTTTTTANACACCTCGTAGTCTTTTGTAATAGTTTTCATTCATTAATGCAATCAGCTTTCATTCTCAATTGCTCATTTCAATTCTCTCATTTGCTCACGACATAGATTTTTCCGTACGGCACTGACAATCTCGTCTAGCGTACGGAGGGGACCTCAATTGGCGGACAACAACTGTACTGACATCGATTGCTTAGCCTTACGTCGCCCTTCCAAGGAATCTCGGGAAGGCGCCGCGTAACAGATATTATGAATTATTTAACTTATACTATGATTAATTCCTAATTTTTAATATTTTTCTCATTTCAGAAATAAGATTTATATGTTCATATTAAGTTCATAACATATTGAAAAAAGAGAAAAATATTATGATATTAGAAAAAAGTAAAAATGTAAATACATAAAAGTTAATAATTTAGAGGGTAAAATAGGTAACTAAGAAGTTTTATCGAAATAGGAGGATGAGAATGTCTACTGTGCAAAGTTGGAGGATGACTTTGATCTTTAGAGTAACGTTCAGGGATATGATATTCATCCATTTATAAGGGCTAGAGAGGGACCTAGCTGCAATTCATGAAATACATAATCAGATTAACTAACATGATGGTTCCTCCCATTACGAGCNCCAGGATGAAGCTTGGGTGAAACTAAGTGGAGGTCCGAACCGACTGATGTTGAAGAATCAGCGGATGAGTTGTGGTTAGGGGTGAAATGCCACTCGAACCCAGAGCTAGCTGGTTCTCCCCGAAATGCGTTGAGGCGCAGCAGTTGACTGGACATCTAGGGGTAAAGCACTGTTTCGGTGCGGGCCGCGAGAGCGGTACCAAATCGAGGCAAACTCTGAATACTAGATATGACCTCAAAATAACAGGGGTCAAGGTCGGCTAGTGAGACGATGGGGGATAAGCTTCATCGTCGAGAGGGAAACAGCCCGGATCACCAGCTAAGGCCCCTAAATGATCGCTCAGTGATAAAGGAGGTAGGGGTGCAGAGACAGCCAGGAGGTTTGCCTAGAAGCAGCCACCCTTGAAAGAGTGCGTAATAGCTCACTGATCGAGCGCTCTTGCGCCGAAGATGAACGGGGCTAAGCGATCCTAGCCTCATCAAATTGAGCATAGCTTGAATGTTATACTAGACACATTAAGCACATGATATACATAATTAATCGAATATGAATTATCACACTTATAATTGAGCTCTCATGTTTATGAACTATTATTAAACCTAGAACGTTTAAACACACAAATAAAATATTTATAAAGCTTAATTTGTTAAATTACACTGGCCGTTTAAAAGCTCTTTATGCTGTCATTATACATAATTAGTTAATTTAAGAAAAGTGTGACATCCAATATCTAGACAATTTTCTGTGGTTTTGAACTTTCAAACTTCCTCCCGATCGCCTATATCTCTAGACTCTAGTCATCCATGAAAGTGCATTGGATTATGAAATACACTAGTCCAATTTGCACCAAACATGATACAATCAGTTTTGGTAACAATCACGTACTCTCTATATTTAAATAGAAAAAAATTTGAAGTGGTTTGCTTTTCTTTTACTCCTCCTTATCCTAATGCCTCACGTCTATACTCAATTGTATTAAATATCTTTAACTATATTTTCAGTTGAATAATTCTTTCCTCCACTGTAACAAAAATGTTACTACTTCTATACATAGATTATACTTGACTACTTGTAGATTATAAAATATGCAACTAATTGCGAAGACTTGAACCCCAACGTATATGCCAAATATTCTATATACTACCAAACTTTCCGCTCTCTATGTATAAAACCCAAATGTAAAAAATCGTGGCAACTTATTCCATTCTTACCATCTCCATTGAAGATCTCTTCTCCTCTTTCTCCATCTCCATAGTTAGGATAATCTGCACAATTATCAATGACAAAATCTATTATTTTGCAAAGTTCTACAGGTATCAACCATGCCTGCAGGTCTTGTTATAGGTCACATAATCTTTCTTTATACCCTAGTTTTAGCTTGAAAGTCTTGAAATTATACAAGGATCTAAGCAGCTTTGGAGGTCAGCATGATAGCTTGTCATTTCTCGGATCCGGAAAAGGACTTTTAACTAGTGACAAAATTAAGAGGTAAACATCTTGGTTTTTGCTACTAATAACTAATATTTGTGAACATATTTCTTTTAGACAACATGATCGACTTTACGTCCGCCTTTCTTCTTCATTTTCGATATAGGAAGTTTGTGGTGAGCAGTAATGGTCAACCAGGAGGTCCCTTGCCTTCTCCGCCTCCTTCAAATCCCTTGTAAGTTTGACATTTATCGACAGACGAATAGATTATTATTTAGAATCAGTCAATTCAAAATTAATGTAATATTGTATGTACTATCTACATTTTAATTTGTTTTGCATATGTATATATAGTTTGAGTTGGAAATTTGAACTCACAAAACCCAACCTAAATCCGTCTCTTCATTTATCAGATCCTCTACAAAAATTAATAAAAAAGAATGTATACATTCAACTGCTCTAATTTAGTGCTTCTAATAATCACTATACTTTTTCTGAGCATTGTTGCAGTAATGGCTGGCTTATAGGAATTCTGCTATCAATAATTTTACCCTTCTTCCGCAACAAATGGGGGTCACTATTGCAACTTAAAAGTAAGATTTCATGAGTTACTTACACATATTGCTGATTTCAATTGTATTTCCTTAAAATTCAAGATTAATTTAAGAAGATAGAAATTAAGGGGTCTTTTCATGTATATTAAAAGGTTTAATTTGCTAATTATACAGATAAGGTGGAAGATGTAATAGAAACAGTAGAAGAAGTAGTAGAGGAGGTGGAGAATGTGGCTGAGGAAGTAGACAAAGTGGCTGAAGAAATTGGGAAAGATTTGCCAGAAGGCCAACTCAAAGATACTCTCAAAGCTGTGGAAAATTTCTCAGAAGAAACAGCCAAGTTTGCTCATGCAGCTGGAGATATTATTGATAAGGTTTATCTAATTAACTCACTTTATGATTTCTTAGTTAATTAAACACCTTCATTCCCAACTAGTACGTAATTTATTATTCTTATGTTTTACTTTTAAATTTCAAAGTTTGGTTACCTGTTCAAATTAAAATGGGATTTTTTAAAATCTGGCGACTGACTTGACTATGCATTAAAAAAAATAAAAAACAAGCTACTACTCCACGTACTTTGAAAATTTGCCTCAAATACTTTAATAACTCAGTCATAAAATTAATATTGTTGACTTTTAAGAATTGAAAGATACTAATCTTTCTGCAAAGTCGGATTGATATTTTTATAATTTTCCTTAATCTCTTTTCCTCCAAAAAATAAAACTTATACAGCTTATGCAGTCTGACTAAACAATACAGCTTTAAAGTTCATATATAATTGTTAACCTCATCTTCGCTATAAAAAGAAAATACCAATTTCATCAACTATGACTTGAATAAGATTATTATACTAATTTTTCTTGTTCCTTATTGATGTGGAGACTAACATTCTCTTCTCCTTGTCCAGCAAGAGAAAAGGAACATGACCAAGAAAATATGTTTTCTTTTGAAATTTCCTTTCCTAACTCCAGCTGCTTCACAAAAATTAATCCTGTATCAAATAAAGTTAATTTCGTCCATGGGTGGATTTAAATTATATACACAAACGCTGTAAAGATATTTTACACTATCACTAAATTTTAACCTCTTATACGAGTTTATTACTCAGCTTTTCAGATTAATGCAAAATGCAAATAACAAAAACGTTTTTCTTAAGCTCTTTTCTATATAAGACTAATCAAACTTATACACGCTATCGTAGTCTGACCAGACAATTGCTTTAACAAAATTCATTCATAATTTTGTTAGTCTCGTCTTCGCATTCAATAAATGGCAATTGTTTATCAACTATGACTTGAACAATAGATTATTGTGCTAATTTTCCTTGTTCCTTACTGTAGAACACTAACGTAACATCCACTTCAGCTTGTCCAGCAAGAGATGAGGAAATAACCAAGAAAATATATTTTCTTTTTTAAAATTCCTTTTTTAACGCTACCTACGTTAATAAAATCCCGTATAAAATTAAATAAAGTCAATTTTGTGTACAGGAGGAAGAATAAAGTATAATACGTACATTTTATTTATATGCAGGTACAAGACGTGGAGCTTATAGCTGAGAAGAGAGTGAAGTCGTCGGTCGAATCCGTCACAGATGAAGTCAATAAGTCTACAATATCTAAAATAGATATAAACTCGAAGAAATAACTCAATTAAAATATAGGATAATCTGCGACCAAATCCTTGTGTAAGTAACTCCATATATTCCCATGTACTTCATGATCACATTAAGATTTATTTTGCTTTGTTTATGTTCCATCAATCTTTTTCTTTTTCTTATTTATTTTCCTTCCTTGGTTTCTTATTGGTTTTCCTCAATTTCAATTTGTTTTTGGTGAAGAAAAAAACTTATTAATCTCCACGAACAGGTACAACATTCTCAGCTACTTACAATCTGCCTTTCCTATTCTATGCTTCATATAAAACTTTTCTAATATCTATAACATGTAATCAATGAACTCTCTAATTCAAACTAAGTGTGTTGCTCAGCCATTCCCTTTCGTTGTTGCCCTGCTTCATGTTGAGGAATATTCTTCTCCGCATTTTACACTCTTGATTTATCTGTTCAATCACAAATTCAGGTCGTGGTAATTTGAATTCCCAATAAGTCAGGTTTCTTGCTTTTCAAATACGATAGACTAGTGCTGTCATAGTTGCAATGACAAGAGCCCTGCAACTTTTACCTTTAGTGCTCCTTGCTAACCTCCTCCATATTCCATTTATGTCTCTTTGTTGCACTTCACTCCCTGTCCAGCTGAGTATACCTTGTAGGCAGATCTGGGAGAATGTACATTCAATAGACAGATGTTCTATGGTCTCTATATTGGTACCACACATTACACACTTGTATCTTGACTAATGCCCAACCTATATAGTCTATCTTTTGTTAGTAGTGGTTTATGCATCACCAACCAGCAGATGAAACTGTGTTTTGTCATATTTCCTCTGCTCCATATCCATCTTCAATTTCAATTTGTTTTCCTCAAGTCCGATCGATATTATAATTATCATTAACGTAGTCATGTTTGCTTTTTCATGAAACAATTTCCATCATGGCCCTTGACCCTTGAGAGACTAATTTTGTAGTAATCATTTCATTTCATAGCTTAAAAATGAAGAAGCTTCGCTAATTTTGTACTATTAGCTTGCCTCCACGACGAGTGTATAGTGTAAAGAAATCCTTGAGAGACTAATTTTGTAGTAATCATTTCATTTCATAGCTTAAAAATGAAGAAGCTTCGCTAATTTTGTACTATTAGCTCGCCGCCACAACGAGTGTATAGTGTAAAGAAATTCTTAAAATATCATGTCACTTAAAAGAAAAGTGTGGTTTATATAACCTTAAAAGTAAGACTTAATACATGTTATAACAAGTACTGTAAAGTTTCTTTACACTACTATGTATTTAAGTTAAGGCTTTTTATATAAATATGCCAGACTTGCAAACTATTATGCGACCCTAAATAATCGTGCGAAGCATACAACGAAATCTGACAAATTCGACAGTTTCGCCGAAAGTTTCTAAGTAATGTAATCAAATATCTCTATAATAATTTTGTTTATTTCGGATATGTTTGGTTGTTATAGTATCATAAAGATCAAATGTTATAACATAGCATGAAATATTAGTTTCAAAAAAAACTTAATTTTTTATAGTAAAGTATTATTATAGAGAACGGAAATGGGTCAAAAATACCCCTCTACTATACTAAAAGGATCATTAATACCCTCCGTTATATTATCTGTTCACTACTGCCCCTTACATTATAGAACAGGTACAAAAATACTCTTCCTCCGTTAAGGTCTCCAACATGTCCAAAATCATCCCACATGGCCTAATATTTTGCTGAGGTGGATGCCACGTCACGTGCCACATTACCCCAAACCTCATTTTACCCCTTCCCCTGCTTCTTCTTCAAACTACTACCTTCTACTTCCCCCAACCACCACAATCACTATCACCACAACCCTCCATCAGATGCCCCATCCTTAGTGATCCATTAAGTTTTTCAATCTACTTTTCCTTTTGTTGGCTAAACTAGACACAAGTTGATGACTAACCATAGTTAGCTTGTATACTTAACTGTAGAGTGTATAGTTAGGTTGTTAAATGTATGGTTTGGTAGTTAGAAGTTAGTTATGGTTAAGTTATTAGATGATAGTTATTTACTGTATATATACAGTACACAGGGAATAGAAACTAATGGATTCCATTTTCATTTCTCTCGATCGTGTGAATACTGCCATAAGTTCAAGATAAGTCAGGTCCAATGTGAATACTGCCATTGCAAGGGACATACCAAAGAGAATTGCTACAAACTCATAGGGTATCCACCTGACTTCAAGACCAAAAGGAAAGGGCCTGCATCTACCCCTGACATGTATGCCAATGGTTCCTCTGGTGTAGACTTTACTGCAGGGGATACTACCCACAGGAACACTCAACCACATTTTGCACTCACTCAAACCAATGATTCCTATCAACAGAACAAAGGACGATACTCTTGTGTTTATCCACAACAGCCAATTGCCTATCCACGTCAGCAGACTCCTAATTTTGGACCCCTCCTCAGTCTAATTCAACTCCTGCTTTCTTTACTAAAGAACAGTATCAACAAATTCTTCATATATTGTCAAAGAGGAATGAGGAAGCTCCAGGATCATCTAGTAGGTTGGTTGCAACAAGTAATCTGATTGCCTTAATAACCAAATTTATCAATAAGAACTGGATCATAGACACTGGTGCTTCAAATCATATGACCTCTAGAATTGACATGCTTAATTCACATAGTTCAATTAACAAAGCAAATAAAATTACTGTTCACTTACCAAATGGAGAGATGGTGTCTGACTCTCATAAAGGGGAAGTTATTGTCCTTAAATATCACATTATATCGAATGTGATGTACATACCAGACTTTAAGTACAAGTTGTTGTCAGTGTCTCAACTCACCAAGGAGCTTCAGTGCTTTGTTGCCTTCTTCTCTGACTTCTGTATTTTTCAGGTTCTCTACAGTGGTCAGGTGAAGGGGATTGGTAAGGAGAATCATGGACTGTATATTCTACAAGGAAAAAGGCTTCTGAACTCCTCAACACAGTCTGCTAGGATATGTCTCAACACAGTTGGTGTTTCTTCTAGTTCTGAGCCTAGTTCTAGCTCTAGTACTATTGATAGTTCTAGTTCCTACTCATATAGTAATCTGTGGCATAATAGGTTGGGCCATGCTCCTGTAAATATAATAAAAAGACTCAATGTAATCAGTGATGTGAATGCATATACTCATGAACATTTTTCTGTGTGTCCCTTAGTTAAGCAATCCAAACTGTCTTTTCCTCTAAGTAATTCAACTACTAAGTCTATGTTTGAATTGGTTCATTGTGATATTTGGGGACCCTACAGGGTGCCAACTTATGATAGAAAGGATTTTTTTGTTACTCTAGTTGATGACTACTCTAGATATACTTTGATATTTCTTATTAACTCCAAGTCTGAAGTTGTAGTAGTGTTGAGAGACTTCTTAGTTAAAGCAAAAAATATGTTCTCTACTGATGTAAAATACTTGAGAACTGATAATGGAAGTGAGTTATTTAGCAATGAATTTACATCTTTGTTAACCACTCTTGGGATCATGCATCAGAATTCTTGTGTATACACTCCACAGCAGAATGGAGTTGTGGAAAGAAAGCACAGAACAATACTAGAGATGGCAAGGTCTCTCAAATTTAAATCTTCTATTCCTCTATGATTCTGGGGTGAGTGTGTCACTACAACTGTCTATCATTTCCTTTTAAGGTAATTGGGTACAAGACTCCTTTTGAGATACTTTATTTGCATCCTCCTTCACTGCAGCAATTAAGAGTCTTTGGGTGTCTGTGTTATGCATCCAGTCTTAAAGTGCATGACAAGTTTTCACCTAGAGCAATCCCAGCAGTTCTCATGGAGTATTCATCCACTCATAAGGGATATATCCTCTATGATCTATCCTCAAAAACCTTCCTCTTCAACATGAATATTACATTTGAAGAAGACATATATCCCTTTAAGAGCATTAAACAAGTTAGCAATCCAATGTTTCTTGTGTTGGAGTTTGTTCCTTCTGCTTTTAACACCTCATTTACCCCACTATAGCTCCTCACAATGTGACACAACCCTCTCCAGCAGTCTCAGAAAATGACAGAGTGTCTGATCACTTACATCTTCCAAACATAATTGAAATTCCAACTACAAGTGAAGCTCGTGTAGCTGATTCTCTAAGTACATAAGAACTCAGAAAGTCCTCTAGAACTAGTAGATCTCCTCTTTGGTTGCAGGACTATGTATTTCAGTCCAAAGGGTCTAAATGTACCTATCCAATCTCAGCTCAAGTGACACACTCATATATATCTTCATCTTACTGTCAAGCTCTATCAACTTATTCTGCATGTACTGAACCTCAATCATTCTTAGAGGCAGTCAAAGATCCTCAATGGATGGATGCCATGAAAGTTGAGATAGTAGCATTAGAAGACAACCACACCTGGAGTATTGTGGATCTGCCTCTTGGAAAGAAACCTATTGCCAGCAGATAGATATTCAAGATTAATCTTAAATCCTCAAGGGAGATAGAGAGGTTTAAATCCAGGATGGTAGCCAAAGGGAAGGCTTAGACTATAGTGAAACCTTTTTACTAGTAGCTAAGATGGTGACAGTTAGATCCATTTTTGCCCTTGCAGCTTCAAAGCAGTGGCTTATGTATCAAATGGATGTGCATAATTCCTTCCTCAATGGTGATCTCCTAAAGGAAGTCTATATGGTCATTCCTGAAGGATTTGCTAGACATGGAGAGAATCATAAGGTCTGCAAACTACACAAATCTCTATGGTCTCAAACAAGCTCCTAGATAGTGGAATTTGAAACTTACTGAAGCTCTGGTGTTTATGGGATTTGAACAAAGTCACTATGACTATTCCCTATTCACCAAGAAGGTTGCACGTGATGTATTAATAATTTTGGTGTATGTGGATGATCTATTGGTTACTGAAAGTAATCCAAGTCTGATCAATAACATTATGTGCAAACTGCAGCAGAGGTTCAAGATGAAATATCTGGGGTAGTTAAAGTTCTTCCTGGGCATTGAACTTGCAAGATCAAATAAAGGCATCTTTATGTGTCAAAAAAAGTATGCTCTTGAGCTAATTACTGAGGCAAGCCTAGGAGGTGCTAAGACAGCTGGTACTCCACTAGAATTGAACCAAAAACTTACATCAGTGAAGTATGATGAG